CAGAAACAAAAAAACACTCACAACTTAAGATTTGGCTCAGTTATATATCTGCCAGGTATTTTATTTTTTCTAAAAACCATAGAAAAAAAAATCAGCTTACTTAAAGATACTTAAATAAAAAAAAATTATGGTTTATAATACATGGTTTGAGATCCTGTATAGCTGCTATAAACGTTTTATTAAAGTTATTTACATTTGATGGCCATATTTACACAGGAAAATTGGGTAAACCTTAAGATTTTTTTAAAAACAATTCTTAAATACAAATCTGTCAAAGGAAAAAAAAAAAAAAAAAAGATGGCAAGCATAAAAAAAGTTCTTTTATGCCCAAAGTTCCATTTGAGGCAGTTTACATTATGGCTAAACCTTTCAGTCCCAAGACCCAGCCAAGGTTGTGAGGTTGCACTTGACCATGCATTTGAAGATTAAGTTCATACGTAATGAATTGCTGCAGTTCTGTGAGAAGGAACCTTTTCCCTCACTCTCCCTTAGTGAGAATTCATGTGCGACTCCAGTTCCTCCAATAGGTCACCTCACACACAAGAGTTCCGCAGCTGCTCGAGTTTGTGTTTCAACTGTTCCCGCCGTTTTCGCAATGAGTCCTTCTCTGAAGTAAGCTTCTGCTCCTCTGACTGGATGGACAAGATGTACGCTGTGGCTTTCTTAAGGATAACCACCTTGGGAGCCTTTTCGTTGTTTTCCAACTCGGGGATCTGGTCTCGAAGCGCAAAAAAGCTCCGTTTCAGCTCATTCCTCCTCTGGCGTTCCAAGACGTTGTGTGTCCGCCTCTTGTCGTTCTCCTCTGTGTCTGAAGATCTGGGGCTGGCACATCTGCGGTTGTTGCTGATCTGTTTCAGGACTCTGCCACTGTCCAACTTCGCCCTCTTGGTGGCGGGGTAGTCCTTCCTGGTGGAGGGCGGGGCCGCGTAGTTGTGCTGATGGGTGGAGACGTGGCATCTTTTGAGGACCAGCGGGCTGTGAGGAGGTCTGCTGTGGCCTCCGGTGGGGGGTGACCCCGCTTCCGACCTTTTGGCAGGGGTCTGCCTCTTTTCCACAGAAACCACATCGATCTCCTCATCCTCTCGTTCTTCCTCTTGAAGAAAGGAAATACAGATCACCAGGTTAGCCATGGCTCCTTCAAGCAATCATTAAGCAGGTTAAATCCACGTTATGCAAGTACAAAGCCGTATGCTATTAAGAGGGGACCCTGGGTCTCTACAAGGGACCAAGGGATCCCCAAAGAGAACCAAACCAGACAGCTCCTTCTCTTCTCCCAGAGCTTCGCACAAAGGGAAGAGAGTGACAGCTGAGGTTAGGGCAGACAAGGAAACTGCAATTTACCAGAATATTAACATGGATGCCAATTCTTACCTAAGACTTAATGAGGCTTTGAACACACCCAAAGCAAAGCATACATTCCCAAGCACCGCCTGTTTTTAAGGGACTTTACCAAGAACCCTTGCAGGTGTTGCAAATGATAGCTGCAAATGTCTTGGTATGACTTTAGCAACTCCCCATTTTACTGGAAATGCAAAAGGGGAGGGGAAAAAAAAAATCTTGCAGCCTTGCCAAAAGTCCCAAGGGGGGAGGGTAAAAGAAGTCCCGTTTTGGCGAGGACTTGGTTTGAAGTATTCAAAATAAGCTATGAGAATGGCAAGCCCTGCAGCCGCTCACTAGCTTCTGGCTGCCAGCAGCCGAGGCAGCATGCAGTCCTGCCCACTGCTTCTCCTTATTCTTCTGGATTTCACAGCCCATTCAATCCCAACAACTTCTCAGAAGTTAAGGGAAAGGGGAGGCAATTCATTCACTCTCTCTGGGAGCAATCTGTTTCCTCTTCAACCCCCTCCTTCCACAAGACAATTAACATGCTTAAAAGAGGTAGACGGGAGTGGATTGAGTTGCATGATAAGCCAGAAGACTGAAAAACCCCAATGAAATTCCTAAGGGGTGGGGGGCTGGCAGCGAGGGCGGTCTGTGCGGAAGGGCAAACGAAAGCCCAATGTTCCAGAGATGATGAGTTCCCAGACCCCTTCAGATCTGCCTTTTCTCCTTCCCAATCTAAGAAACGAGAAAGGGTGAACGGAAGGCGCCAGCTCAATCAGCCGCCAAGGAGAAGACCCAGACGCAGGCCAGGAGGGGCCCAGCTTACCAGAGTCGCTGCTGGTCGCGGGGGGTGTCTCCTCGTGGAGCGCGGACGGCTCGGGGCTGGCCCGTGGCGACGACTCGGCGGAGGAGAGCAGAGAGTCGGAGGACGTGGAGAAGGCGGGGGAGTCCGGCGAGGCGCAGGGCTTGGGCGAGCTGCTGTCGTTGAGCGGGTAGGGGAAGACCACCGAGGGGTCGATGCACTCGGAGGCGGCGGCGCTCAGGTCTTGCAGGTACAGGCTGGAGGTGGAGCAGCCGCCGTGGCCGCGGGCGGGGCTCGGGCTGCCGCTGTCTTTGCGCGCAGCCTGGTAGGAGGCCAGCTTCTCGGAGACCAGCTTGGCCGCGGCCGAGAAGCCGCTCCACATGCAGTCCTGGATGATGATGTTCTTGATGAAGGTCTCGTCGTCCGGGTCGCAGATGAAACTCTGGTTCACCATGTCTCCCCCCAGCAGCTCGGTCACCATCTCCAACTGGTCGGAAAAACTGCCGCCGCCGCCGTCGCCCCCGGGAGAGAAGGAGGCGAAGGCCAGGTTGTAGGAGGGCGAGCAGAGCCCGGAGCGGCGGCTTGGGGACAGCGGCGGGGTGGGCAGCAGCTCAAATTTCTTCCAGATATCCTCGCTGGGCGCCGGCGGCTGCAGCTCGCTCTGCTGCTGCTGCTGGTAGAAGTTCTCTTCCTCATCAAAGAAGTAGGGCTGCACCGAGTCGTAGTCCAGGTCGTAGTTCCTGTTGGCGAAGCTCACGTTGAGGGGCATCGCGGCAGCCTGCGGAAAGGGCACACAAAGCGGGCAACCAGCCCTGAGTCAAGGGGGCCTTGGTCGGTGCCGAAACTCCGCGCAGCGCCCCACAAGCCCGCTCCACTCCCTTTCCAGCGCTATCCCCAAAGGGCGCCGGGTAGACGGGACCCCCGGACCCCCCACCCGCTCGCCCCCTGCCAGCGACCCTTCAGTATCTCGGACACGCACTGGATGATCGAGCTGCCTAGTACCCGCCAACATCTGGATCTCCCCCGAGATTTTGGGGTGTGAACTCGGGAGCCTGCCCCACAGCCGCAGAGGAGTCAAAATCGGACTTGGCCTCCTTAAGAGGCCGGGCGAGGCCGCGGTGGCGAAGAACCGAGCTGCCAAATCTGAAGGCGCAAAGTTTTGCGCCACCTGAAGGAGAAGGCGAGAGGCGCCGCGG